CCGCCCTCGCCCGCCCCCCTCCCCCCCCCCACACACACACAGACGGCAGCAGCTGCACCTTCATTTCGTCCGTGTGGCCATGGTGTATACGCGTCGATGAATGCAGCAATAATTATGTCTCGGGCTGGTCGATGGGCACCCGGCGAGATTTCCATTTGAGCAGTCGGTCGAGGCTGGTGCCTATAACGTCGATGTATGGAGTCAGCTTGCCGTTGCCTCGAGCCACTCCCAGCAGCACACGGGCAGAGTCGATCAGCTTGCGGTCACCCAGCTGCCTGCACAATACAACACACATCACACGGGAGGGATGCATCGCATCATCATCTGTGTTGATTGGTGGCGTCCAGTCTTGCCTTGCGAGGTCGAAGTGCTGCTCGAGCAGGTCGACAGCTTTGTCGTATTCGGCCCGCTGGCTGTACAGCAGGCCCAGGTTGAGACACGCCCCAGTCTGGGCATCAAGCTCCCCCTGAATGGCAAGAGGTATGCATACATGCGAGTGTGGGTATGGGTGTGGGTGCGGGTGTGGGTGTGGTTGTGCACTGTGCGCTTACGGCCTCGTTGGCCACAGCCAGGAGCTGCTCCAGCTGCCGCACCGCCTCCTGTGTGGCCATCCCATCAATAGATCCATCAACGACAGAGACACAGAGACACATTGACACTGGCATCCTTGTGTGTGAGACCCCTGTGTTACCTACCTGTGTGTTGCCGAGGGCTTGCTGCGCCTGAGCCAGAGACGCACGAGCGGCACTCTCGCCCACACGATCGCCGTGAGTCCTGCAACCGACGCATTCACACACACGAATGTGTCTCTCTGCCGCATCTTTCGACCTCTCACACCCCCACACAGCGCCGCACCTACCGGCATATGTCAAGGTACTGCTGCTGAAGGGCGGCCGCCTCGTGATACGAACCTGTCAGCCAGTCAACAGCCAACAAGCCAACCAGGGAGGGCATCGGCCGATTGATCGTGTCTCACCTCACCCGCCTCGTATGGTTGGTTTCCCTACCGAGTCTGAGCTTGGCCTTGCCGAGGTTGTAGCATGCCGTGCCCTCCAATGCAGAATCCCGGCTCAGCCGCGCGCACTCCACACACCGCTCGTAGCTCTGTGCTGCTGCCTCATAGCGACCCTCCTGCACATTAGGCGTTGTGGAAACAATAGACAACGTTATTCTGACGAGACACGGAACAAAGGTGAGCCGGGGGGGGGGGGCGGAGCTGACCCGTTCGCATTTGGCTGCGAGTACTTTGTAGACCTCTACAAGGCGGCTGGCAGACTTGAGCATCAGCGGCAGGCTCACCACCTCCTCGTCGCTCTGACGTCCACCCTCCTGAGGCGGGCCGCCCCTCTCTCTCCCTGCTGTGGCTGGGGCGCCCCTGCCCGGCCTCTCCGACTTGGCCGACGCCACACGCAACGCCTGCTCGTGGTGCTCCTTGGCGCTAGCCCAATTGTTGGTCCTCTCGTCACAGATGCCCAGACTCAACAGAGACTTGGCCAGACACTCACGAAGCCCCGCCGTCTCCCCCTCTCCCCCCGCCCCCGCCCCGCCCTTGCTGGCAATGCCGGCGGCGACCACTTCGCCGCACCGCCTGTGGAAGTACCGGGCGGAGTCGAGGTCGTGGATTTTCTCAAAGTACTCGGCAACCACACGGTACTGCTCGAAGCACTGAGAGAGGTAGGTGGGGCCGAGCCGCCTGGCCGTCTCTGCCGACTCGAGCGTCTCCTTGAGGAACACCAGGGTCTCCTCGGGCACGGCAGGGGCCGTCTGCAGGGGCTGTAGGGTAGTGGAGGATGTCGAGATGCCTTCTGCCGGTTGCTGCTGCTGGGATGCCGGCGCCGCTGAGACAGGCCCCTTTCCTGGTTTCTCCATTTCGACGGGTTTGAACCTTCTGGGCTTAGCGGCGTCCCCCGCCCTCTCGCCCAGGGACGCCATGACGTCCTCTGCGCTGTGTGTGATGACGAAAAAGTCAATGAAGGACTGCACGCAGCCGGCCAGCAGGAGCTCCACGCACAGCTGCTGCGGGCTGCCCACTGCAGTGGCCGTCAGTGTGGCTGTCGCTGAGGCCGACGCCGATGCCGACACGGATACTGACCCCTCTGCTGCCTGGGGCATCGTCGATGTGAGCAGCATCGTCCCTCCCACATCAACACCAGCAGCGGCAGCAGCCGGTGCTGTAGGAGCCCCCTCGGCTGGCGGCTTCTTGGCTGCCGGTGCCTGTGTCATGGCCGCCGCCCTCTTAGACGTCAGCAGCTCCTCCCGCAGCTTCTGTATCTTGCTCTTGGCGGGCGGCGGGGCCTCCTGCACCGCGCCACGCACAGCCGGCTGGGCGCCAGGCGGCCGCGAGAGGAGAGAGGCCTTGAGAGGGCTGGTCGGCAACGCGAGTTCCTTTTCATGGTCGTAGATGTCTGCAGCGAGGGTGCTAGCGAGTGTCCCCGTGGCCTGCAGCCGGTTTGGCGAGGGCCTCACGGTGGAATAAGCAGGCGGTAGTGTCGTGCTTCCGGTAGCCATGTCACCAGAAGTTAGAAGAACCCCTGCTGCGAACTTCTGCGGGAAAGACTGCGGGGCGCGTGGGGGCTAAGCTCGCAATTGCGAGCTCACAAAATAGCATGGCGACTGTATTGAGCATGATGAACCTTGTTGACCCGCTGGTGCGCCGACTGGTGTTGATCTGCCTCTTGAGCAGCTGCCAGCATCTGAATGCAGCCGTTCAGCACAAACCCAGCGCCTTTCAGTGCTGCAGTACTGCCAGCAGCTCATCATCATTATCGTTGCCCCTCTCACGCCCACACGCAAGGCCGCCGCATCAGCGTTGGTGCGCTGACCGACTGCGCAGCCACCAGAGCGACACCAATGTTCTCTTGAAGGCAACCAAGACCGACACCGAACGACGCGAAACACGGCCGCCTATGCTGCAAGCCAACACGACCGACAGCTCTGCAGATGTGGAAATGAATGGTCTGTTCTCGATAGGCGGTCTGTCGGTCAACGCGTTCGGGGTGCTATACTTCATCGAGACGCTGTTCTGGTCGATCTGGTGGGCCCTGGGGCTGCTGGTGTGTGGGGGGGTGCTGGAGCTGAGCGACCGCGCCGGCCTGACGCTGGACCCCGCCCGACGTAGCATCGATGCGCTGAACCGGCTGTGGGGATTCTTCATGCTGACGACCATTAACTCCATGCCCGTCATCGTCAACCCCGAGAACCTCCCACCCAACAACGAAACATGCGTGTAAGCCAAAGGAAGAGGGAAGGGGAGCCGCCCGTCGCCCGCTTGCTTCGCCCATCGATGTGTGGTTGTTTCTGCCTGCTGTCCTCCTCAGTTACGTGGCGAATCACGCGAGTTGGATGGACATTCCTGCGGTGGGGATGCTGCCAAGGTTCTACAAGTTCGTGGCCAAGGCGGAGCTGCTGAAGGTGCCCATTCTGGGCCTCTCCATCATGCTCTCCGACCAGGTCATCCTCGAGCGCGACGACAAGCGGTCGCAAATCAAGGCATACCGCCAGTGCCAGCAGATTCTGAAGACAGGGTATCCCCTCTTCGTGTTCCCGGAGGGCACCAGGAGCCGCGACGGGCGGCTCAAGCCGTTTGGCAAAGGAGGAGCATTCAAACTCGCCCAACAGGTGGGTGCGTGGGTGGCTGATGGATGGATGGGTGTGTCGAGAGGAAGGAAGGACACACAGACACACCTGCACCATGCATGTCTTTCTGTCCATCCATCCATCCATCAGATGAATCTTCCAGTGGTGCCGGTAACGATAGAGGGCACCCATGCCATGATGCCGCCGACCGCCTTGGTGCCCCTCAAGCCCGCGGCAGGCACCGTGAAGCTGCACATACACCCAAAGATCCACCCGACCGGGTTCACCGAGGTCAGACACACACACACAGAGAGAGGCATTCGTTCGAAGCAATGTCGCCGTATCGCATCGCATCTCGTGTTTGATGTGGTGTGGTGTCGCGTGCAGGATCAGCTTCGCGAGTATGTGTGGCGTCAGATCGGCTCGGCCCTCCCCGAGAGCCAGCAGCCGTTGAAAGACGACCTGGACACCAACGAAGCCGTCATCCAGACTCTCCCCACACAACGACACGACAAATTCTCGGCTGACCACGCAGCGGCTGATGCTGCTGCTGCTGACAAGTGGGGCTACCCACGGCGGCCGGCGAGAACCGAACGAGTACGGTTCAGCGAGCTCCTCTTCATGTTTCGCCAGCCAGTCACAAAGAACCCGCGACTCATCAACCGCAAATAGGCCCTGTCTGCCCGGGGTGTCCTCGTGTGCTGGCCGACTCGCTTTGTCTTTCTTTCTTTCTTTCTTCTCCCTCTCTCTCTCTCTCTCTCTCTCTCGTCTTTGTTTCTCCAGCCAGCCACCCCGCCATCTATCCATAGTTTTGTTCCTTCCACTGGCTGTCTCTCCTGGCTGACTGCATATCCATGGCTTCCTGTACAGACCCCTCAGTCCCTCCCTTGATTCCTTACTCCCTGAGACTCTCCCTTGGTTGCTTACCTGTCTGGCCAGCGACCTTTTTCTGTGGCCTTGCAAGCTGGCCGATGAGAGAGCGCCGTGTGTTCGTTGGGACGCCCCTGGTTGTTTGCCCTGGCCGTCTGGCTGCCTGTGCATTGAAGGTTTTCCACGGTAGTCAGTTGCTCGGGCGCTGCTGTAGCTACACTGTTGCATTTTTTCCACCCTTCCACGCGCCGACGGACTGGTCAGCTGGCGCGTCGTCTTCTCTCATGTGTCCTGTTCATCCGATAGATAAGACATGTGAGAGTCTCGCTGACGCTTGTGAGACGCGGATGTGTGTCTCATTATTTCCGGCTAGCCCGCGTAGCTCGGGCGTCTTTCGAGAGATCATGCGCATCTTTGCCATCAGTGATGTTCACACCGACTATCGTGCCAACCTCGAGTACGTGCAGGGCCTCTCCCAGACGGCCTACAAGGAAGACGCCGTTATAGTGGCCGGCGATGTCAGCGACCGCCTCGCCACTCTCCGGACCACACTGCAGCTGTTCACTGAGAAATTCGGACACGGTAAGTAAGAAGACAGACAAGCACCAACCGTGTTGGACACATGCCTTCCTTCACGCCACACCTGCGTGTGTGTGTGTGGTTTGTTGATTGATGTGCATCAATCAGTATTCTTCGTACCAGGTGCGCTGATAGATCTGATCCTGATCACACACGACTGACAGAACACGACAGACACAGCACGGCGACTGACACTGACTGATGCCTGCCGTGCTGCTGCAGGCAATCACGATGTATGGGTCACACGCGATGAGGTCTTCCACTCCCCCTCCCCCTCCCGCAACCCAACACACACCAGAAGCAGCGGCAACGGCAGCAGCAGCGGCAGCAGCAGCAACCCCAAGTTCGCCGACTCTGCTGCCAAGCTCCAGTACATCTTCACCATGTGCGACGAGATGGGCATCGTCACCACACCCAAGCGCCTGGCCTGGCAGCGACAATGGACAGAGAACACGCCCCCCGCCCCCCCACCAAGTGACCGCAGCAGCAACCCCAGTGAGGGCACCATTTGGGTAGTGCCGCTGCTGTCCTGGTACCACACCGACTTCGACACCGAGCCCGACATCCCCAATCTGCCGCTGCCGCCTGTCGAGCAGGTCATCACGGATTTCGCGACGTGTCGGTGGCCCGACGGCCTCTCGGCGGCCGACGGCAGCCGAGCACTCGCAGAGTATTTCGACCAGATGAACGACAGGCGGCTGAACGGTTCGGGCAAGAGGAACATCAGATCGTGGGACGACATCGACGTGTAAGTAATAGGGACGGAGGGAGGGAGGGAGGGAGTGATGAGATGAATGGCCATGCCATGTGTGGTGTGGTGTGATGGGCCCACCAGGTCTGTGGAGCAGGTGATATCGTTTTCTCACTTTCTGCCGCGACTCGATCTGCTGCCCGAGAAGCGGTTCCTCTTCTACCCAAACCTGCCCAAGGCCGTCGGCAGCGACCTGCTCGGCCAGCGGGTGGCGCGCCTTCGGCCCGACATGCACGTGTTCGGCCACACCCATTTCGGATGGGACACACAGATCAACGGCACACGATTCCTCCAGGTGTGCCGTGCACGCAACACAACACAACACACGCACACGCACACAACTCTCTGCCTGCGTCACAAACAAACAAGTGAATCCATCCATCGGCCGGTGGATGGATGGATGGATGGGTGTGATCTATCTGTGCAGCTGGCCTTGTCCTATCCGTACGAGCGTCAGCGTCGGCTTGGGTCTATCGAGGTGGGCCCCTTCCCGCAGCGGCTGATGGCCATATGGGAGGACGGCGCCTTCGCCCCACAGCAGACGGCGCACTGGTCGCTCTACTACCGCACACACAAGCGGGACCCAAGCAACACCGAGCTTGCCCCCTGGGTCAAGTCGAGGCTGGAGAAGCACCTCCAGCCAGAAGAATGAGTGACATATAGAGGGAGGAAAGATCGGTACACACTTTGTCTCTCTCTCTTTATCGACGCATTGCTATGTGTGCTGCTGTGTGGATGCACGTGACACGTGCATGGGCGTGTCTGTCTGTGTGTGCGTGGCTGGAAGCGTCGATGGGTGGGTTTGGTGGTGTGGTGTGCAGTAAGTAGATTTTGGATGGACCGGAAGAAAAGCACCAAGCAAGCCTTGAGATTTTGGAGCCACGGAGAGGCGTGCATGCATTTGTGTGTCGTGTTGTGTGTTGCTAGGTAAGTCGAGTCGCGCACAGAAGCCATGCCATCTGTGTATGTGTGTCTATGCGGCGAATGACGGCAGGGAGTCAGGGAGGGAGGGAGGGAGGGAGAGGAGTTTGGACATCAGCCAGCCAGATTAAATGAATTGAATTACAAGCAATTCATTACGATTGACGGTCGACACACACAAGTATAGGTCGGTCTGTGTGGAGACGTGTGTTTTGAGTTGGCTTTTCACGGTCACTGCTCCATTCCTGCGGAGACTGGTCGACGCATCCGGGATTCACTTCAGTTACGACCACAACCACAAAAACGAACCACCACCTTGTCTCAGTTCTAGAGCCTCGTGTGAATTCTGCGCAGCCACGTGCCAGATCTTCTTGAATGTGCAGCAAGTCTCGTGTGAACGCATCCCAGTGCGCCCCCAATGTCCTGCCTGGTTGTCCTGAACCGATGGTGTGTCTCACCATCAGAAGTACGCCACCCACCGTCGTCACCGAATGAGCAGGGGTCCATATGCGAACCCTACCCATCGGATGGCGGTGGCGGGGGAGATACGTCTGATAGTAAAGCACGACCACAGATCACCAACGCTGAAGGCAAAAATAACCAAGAAGCTGTCTGTGGATTGTGGATAAAACAAGTGCGCATGGATCGGACCCCACGGTTCTGCCCACTCCCTATGCCCCTCCCAGTCTGCGGGCGAGACGTATCAAGGTTGTATCAACACACACGGCCACCGCAACCGGCAGCCCCACACCACATCACCTTCCATAAAGCCAACACAGGGCAGACAACAAACCAGGCACAGACACACAGTCAGAGAGGCAGGCAGGCAGGCAGACAGGCGAGGGCGGTCGATCTGCCAGCGCATGATTGTGAGGAAGAGTTAGTTGCGGCCACGGGTATGGGTAGCAGGCAGGCTGAGGCAGCCGCACAAAAACTCTCGTGAGTCGTGTGCACGTGTCAGTCAGTCACTCGTCCGTTCTGTCACACCGTGTTCGGGCAAGATGCGACACGCCGTCTCTTTCTTCGCATGCACGTCTCTTTCTTCGCATGAAGCCACACATGACACGGACAATCAACGCAACGCACACGGACAAACCACATCACTCCATCGTGAACGAGCCGTAGCTATCTAGCTGTCCGTCTGTCTGTTCTGTCTGAGTGGGAGAACGAGACGAGACAGGCAGGCAGGCAGGATGGAGGAAAGGCAGGCCGACAGGAGTGACAGCGAGACAACGTCAGGAGAAAAACTCATGGTCATATGATCAATCAGTCTGATCAGCTGTGTGTCGCATTCATTCAGGGAGTCAGTAGTCAGTCAGCCAATTGATACATTCATTCGTTCGCTAATCAGGCAGGCCAATTCGCATCCAGTCAGTCAGTAGTCACTCGATCCAATTCGCATCACTAGCACAGACAGGCAGGCAGGCAGGCAGGCACAGGCATCGCATCACTCACGCAGTCAGTCCGTCCCTCATGGATCACTCATGCAGGTCAGGCAAGGCAAGGCAAGGCAAGGCAGGCAGGAGCAAAAGAAAAATGGGTGGATTGGATGGCTGGATGATGGATGCGCGAAATCGGTGTGTCCTCTGAGCGTGTGTACCCTGTCACCCACCCGTGGCATGCAAGAGAAACAATCCTCCCTCATTCCTTTCCCCTCTCTCTCTCTCCGTGTGCACACACAAGATACACCACGCAATGCACCCATTCACACACACACACACACACACACACAGACATAGATACATGTACATAAATCGGTCTCATCTCATCTATCTCTTTCCCCGCCATCGGTTCCGTATCTATCGACATGAACGAACAAGGCATCAAGGCATCGACCTACCTACACAGCTAGCCAAGCCAGGCCAGCTGTCGAGTCAGGCGTGCGTGGTGCTGCTGTATCCCTGTCTGGGGATGCATGCATCGAACGCATGAATACACAGCACGAAAGGCATGGGCGACGCGATCAGGCAGGCCCTGTGAACCTCTCTCGACGTCATGGATGGATGAGTGAGGTGAGGCCTGCCTGAGTGATGCGCCCGGCCCACCTACGTGCCTTTCTGCCTGCCTTGCCTCACTGCAGCGTCCCCCCCGCCCCTCAAGTCAGCAGTGGCCACCGCGCTGCTCATTCGTGTGAATGAATGGATGGACGAGTGAATGAGTACCAGTCGCGGCGCCACGTCCGTGCGCACGCAAAGCGGTACGTGTCAGAAAGATGTACGTGTGAATGAGAGGGGGCCACCCCGCCCCACCCGTAGCGATATAGCGGTATGTATGCGATGTAGGGCCACACGCATCACACACACAACACACCACCATCACACATCAACATGCAGAAAGCAGCGACGCAAGGCAGCCGTACGTGTGTAGCGGCAGCAGCACACCAGCAGCAGCGCACACAGGGCGAGAAAGAAATGAAGAAAGAAAGGAGGAAGGAAAGGAGAGGAAGACAAAACGTGTCGTTGTCTCGACAGGACAAAAATACCATGCACAGCCAACCAACAGGCACACCCAAAAGCAAAGGCGGGCGAGTGGAACAAAACCGCAAAACCCTCATCAGTCATGAACCACACACATCCACACATACATGACCCTCTGTCATTTTCGCAAAACGGGTCTCTTCTTTCTTTCGAGTTTCTCCCCGACCCATCACACATTCGTTGTGAGATCCCACACTCACACTACCGGCAGGCCAGGCATGCATCTAGCTGGCCATATGTCTAGAAGTGGCTGTCGAGTGCCTCGAGCTCCTCGTGTGAGAAGAGCTTGAACCGGCCGAGTGCCCAGCGGACCGGGTGGAGGAGGCCGATGAAGACGGGGAAGACGAAGCCGATGGAGGACCGCATGAGGACCATCAGGAGCACCAGCATGGCCACCTGGATGAGGGTGAAGGCGTGCATGCGCAGCAGCCGCACCGACGAATAGGGCTTGTTCTTGGGCAGCTTCTTGCGGTCGTAGAAGAACAGGCAGACGCGCTCCCAGAACTCGTTGCCCGCAAGGTTGCTCCACCCGTTGTACAAAAAGAGACCCTGACAGACGAACACCACAGACAGACAGACAGTGTCTGTGCATGAGGTCGTGGGTGTCGGTGGGGTACGCACCCGCAGGACGGCGAGAGGGATCATGGCCAGCGGCCGCCGCAGGAAGAGCAGCGCCAGGAGGATCAGCAAGTGGGTCAAGAACGGGCTCACACGCTGCTCCAGGCAGCCCGTGACTGCACGCGCACACAAAAGCAGACACAACCATCATCCTGTCACTCGTCTGCACACCCTCGCTGTCTCCCTGTCTCCCTCCCTGTGTCTCCGTCGCTTACTCTCAGTTCCCGACGGCAGCGAGAGCATGGCCAGGACGCTCTCGGTCTCGCGGTGGACGGCCCTGATGAGCTCGGTGTGGCTGTTGCGGTTGGGGAGGGGCGGCGTGGGTCCGTCAGCGATGAGGACCTTGCACGAGTCCTGCTTGGGCAGCGATGGCTGTGGGCTCGTGGGCGACTCGACGCCGCTGTTGCTCGCTGAGGGGGCCTCGTGGCTGTCCTCCGTCGACATCCTCTCGGGGTTCTCCACGTCGACCAAAGTGCGGAGACGCTCCAGGGTCTGAATGAAATGAAATGAGACGGCAGGCAGGCCACACACACAGACATGAATGAAATGAAATGAGACGGCAGGCAGGCCACACACACAGACAGGAGGGACACACACGTGGGTGACAGTATGAATGGGTGGGTGTTTCATTCCATCCGTCCGTACGCACCTTCCTGGAAGCGTGTTCGAGCTTCTGCTCCATCTCAGCCTCCGACTGCTCGTCATCGGCCTTCTCGGTACCGAAGAAGGCCAGCGAGCGGGTGTGGTTCATCGAAGGCACAGTGGCCGACACCATCCACGGGCAGCCTACACACACACACAAACACACACACACACGACATGCACACGGACACGCGTAGATGTGTGTGTGGGGTGTGAGGGGAGGGGGGGCAGCTGACCGCAGAGGGAGAGGAGGACGGTGCAGCCGCAGAGTGCCAGCATGTCCAGGTCGTAGCCGTAGCCCTTCTTGAGCTTGTGGCCGTTGGCATTCACCAGACGCACTGTGATGTTCTGATCTGCAGATGACAGACAGTGAGTGCACACCCATCCACACAACGAGACACAACACAAGACATACCGTGAGCCGTGTTGACCTGTTCACTCTGTCTGTCTGTCTGTCTGTCGCGTCTCCCGTGCGTGTGTGTGGTAGGGTGACCCTCTCACCGTAGAAGATGACGATGAAGCCGAGGAAGGCAGCGCAGGCGGCGACACCGATGCCGGCAGCAGTGATGTCGGTGAGGTCCACCAGCCAGGGACGCACGTCGGTGCCCTTGGTCGTGGCCGTCAGGTCGTCAGCCGTGAAGGGCAGGAAGTCCAGGTCCACGGCCTTACTGCCGTAACGAACTATCATCACCTGAACACACCACACCACACCAGCCAGAAGAGACATGTTCACATCGCATGGCCGGGCGTCTCGTCAGTGGCGGCCCGCCCCCCCACTTACTTACCCACGCGACGGCAACGCCAAGGATGATAGCGATGACGGGGGCGAAGTCGGCTGCGCGGTTGCGGATCCACTGGTTGAAGAGCTTGCCATTTCGGCTCCCTCGGACGATCGTGGCCGTGAAGAAAGTCAGCAAACCGACGAACAGACCGACCTTCGCCTCGCCATGGCTCACTGCAGCAATGCATCCATCCACCACACAAGACACCGACACACACATGTATGGTGTGTGCACTCATGCGTGTGTGTCGGCCCATTCCATCCCTCCCTCACCGTCCTGGCTGCCGAAGAGACCGACGAAGTAGCGGCAGGCCTCGTAGATGAAGATGACCGAGATGAGGACGCTGAATGTCTCCTCGGTGAAGCGGGTGACCTTGCGGATGGCGTTAGAGAGCGAGAAGCAGCTGGCGAGGAAGAGGTAAACGCTCAGGAACAGACCGGTCCAGGCGTAGAAGGGCAGGAAAGTCACGCCCAGCATCCCCGCCAAGGTGTGCAGGGCCACGATGTAGGACGCGATGGGGCCCGTGGCACCCATGATGGTCAGCGGCTGTCCGCAGAACAGCGGGTAGATCATACCCAGGGTGGCTGACACACAGGCAGCGCACACACATGCACACATGAAACATGAGATAGATGGCTGTCAGCCGTCGCCCAGTGCAGTGCTGTGTGTGTGTGTGTGCGTGAAATGATGGGGGATGGGGTGGGGTGGTTTGGGGTACGGGACGGGACGCACCTGTGGCCATCAGGGTCTCGGCGGCGCCCATCCATCCGTTCGTCTGACAGAGAAATGCGACACACCACATCACACCAAAGGGTTTCCACAGAGTGTTCATGCGTCCATGTGAGCATGTGTCCTCCCTCCGTCGCCCCACCCGTTCGCCGAGGAGACTGCCGAATGCGACTGCGTTGGCCAGTGCGCCCCAGAAGATGTACAGCACAGTGCACGGCACCTTGACGTGCAAAGCATCTGACACACAAGACCACCAGAGACAGAACATCGAGTCCAGTCCCACGCTTGCCTTGACCACACGGCCCGTGCGTGTGCACATGCATGACCGAGTGCCTGCCTGTCTCCCTCCCCTGCAAGTCACTCACCGACGAAGTCAGAAGGGTACCAGGGCAGTTTGATCCTGAGGTCCTCCCAGAGCCCCTTGCCGAACCGCCTGACAATGGGGATGTTCTCTTCGTCGCGCGCGACGGCGGCACTGGGCTTGCGCTTCACCAACATGACTGAAGGAGGACGAGAAGGGCTGCTGTGGCTGTCTTGGTGAGGCGGGAAGGAAGGGAGGCGGGAAGGATGGGAGATATGCACTGACTACTCAGAGAGACGAGAGGGCGGCAATCAATCAGACACAAAGTCAATGAGAGCAGGAAAGCAGAGAGGTCAAAGATCTGACGCAAAATCTTACCTACACTGGTCGACCAAAGATCTTGACCAATGAGATGCAGTAAACCTGCGCGAAACCGTTTCTGCGAGCTTACTGGCTGTCCCACCGGTTTTGCATCCTCCCAGCCTAGAGTGCCAGGCGAACACTCCGCTTCACGCCACCGCACCTGGTGCCTCTGTCTGTGAGTCTCTCTCCTCCATCTCCCAGCCTCTCTGAGCTTGGGTGTGAGAGATCTCGCTCCTGCTGCCCTCCAGCTGATTTTGTCTGCTTCTCTCGTGTCGATTGGAATACAAGAAGAGTTTGTTTGGCTGACTGATTGAGCCATCCAGCACTATGAGTGAAAAGCTCAAGTCCCGGTCCCCCCATCACTCGCATCGCTCACCCAACCTGCTCAATGTCCACCGCGGACACGGCCCCGGGACGAGTCACCCGCACATGGGCGAACGGTCAGTCTGTCAGTCAGCGAGACCTCACGCACACACACACGACATGCATCCAGAAGGGCAGGCGGAACCAGACAGAGAGAGATCTGTGAGGGGTGCGCGTGTGCATCCTCTCTCTGCGGGTGTGAGAGACTGTGTGCTGTTGTGTTATGTCTTGTCCCTGTCGATTCGATGCAGGTTGGAGCAGTTCTTCGGTCGTGCGACGTCCTACACGGACGAGGCGGTGGGTCACCTGTACGAGCCGCCTCTGGAGGACCGCATCCAGGCGGCCCGCTCCAAGAACCAGGAGGAATTCAAGCACGTGGTGGAGGAGGCCCACGACGAGTATGAGCACTTCCAGGGCGCAAACAAGTGGGCCAGCGCCTCGTCCGAGCAGCTCGCCAAGGACCTCAAGAGCAGCTGCATCAAGGGACTCACCTCCGAGCGGGTCATCGAGGCGAGACACGAGTGGGGCGACAACGCTCTCGAGAAGGAGGGCACCGTCTCCGCCTGGTCAGTCAGTCGGCCGGGGGGCATGTGTTGTGTGCGGATGGGATGGTCGACTGAGTGTCTCCCTCTGTCTCCCTCTCTGAAACATGTGTGATGTGTGACAGGTGGTTGTTCCTGATGCAGTACAAGTCGCCGGTGATGATTTTGCTGGTTGTGGCGGCCATCGTCTCCCTGAGCATCGGCAAGGTCGTCGTGGGCGTGGCGGTGCTCGTCATCACCCTCTGGAACGCATCACTGGCCACCTACATGGAGAAATCCGCCAGCGACGCACTCGCCAAACTGGCCAGCATGGCCGCACCCAAATGCAAGGTGGGTCAGCAGAGACAGACAGAGAAAGATTCTCACCACACCCACAGCACAGCACATGAGACGAGACGCCTGTATGTGGTTGTGTGTGGGCCATGTCTGACGCACCAGGTGATCCGCAATGGTGCTGAGGAGCTGATTGAGGCGACTGAGTTGGTCCCCGGTGACCTGGTGTTGCTGTCCATCGGCGACCGTGTGCCTGCCGACATCCGTCTCATCGACGTCAACGAGCTCCTCTCCAACGAGGCCCTGCTCACTGGCGAAAGTAAACGCCCCCTCCCACTCTCTCTCTCACACGCACACGGACAGAGCCACAAATCCATCCATCCATCCATCCATATGACTGCTGTGTGTGCAGGTGAGGACATCCGGAAGCAGGTCAAGGTGAACGGTGAGGAGGCCAAGGAGGCCTTTGCCAAGAACATGTGCTTCGCCTCCACATCCGTCACCAACGGATCCGGCAGAGGCCTCGTGGTACGGTGGACACACACACCTCACACCACACCACACCCCCACCATCGACACATGTGTCTGCCTGTCTGTTCGTCTCGTCTGTGCGCTGCGCAGGTGGCCACCGGTATGCACACCCAAGTCGGCATCATCGCCCAGCACCTCAAGGCGGTAGGTACTACCAGCGCCATACCATACACCCCACACCCAGCCAACGAACCACCCACCAGCACACCCACATGAACGTGGCCATTCATTCTGTTGGTTGGTTGTGATGTGCTGTGAGTGTGCAGGCGAGCCAGAGCGAGCAGCTGACGCCCCTGCAGAAGTCCCTCAACAAGTTCGGCCTCATCCAGGGCGCCATCGCCATCGCCTTCCTTGGTACGCCCTCACACCACACACACAAGCCCACACGACACATTTGTCTCACGTGTCCCTCTCTGTCTGTGTGTGGTGTGTGTGTGCAGCGCTGATCATCGTGGTGGCCATCACGACAGGGTACCGTGACCCATCGCACCCCGAGGACGGCCGGTTCTTCTCGATTCTCATGGTTGCCGTCGGCTTCGCCGTCTCGGCCATCCCAGAGGGCCTCCCCATGGTCGTCACCATCTGCCTCTCACTCGGCTGCGGCGCCATGGTCAAGCGACAGGCACAGGTACGCTACGCTGCAGTGCACTGCAGCGGGTGGTCAACCTAGCCAGCCACACGACCCCTCTGATCTCATCCCTGTGTGTCTCGTGTGTTGTGTGAATGTATTGCCACCAGGTGCGCAAGCTGCCTGCAGTCGAGACGCTGGGCTCTTGCACCGTCGTGTGCAGTGACAAGACCGGCACCCTGACCGAGGGCAAGATGACGGCCGTCACCCTGCACGCCGTCAGCGAGTCCGAAGACCCGGCCACACCAGACGCCCCGCCCACCGAGGAGTTCTCCTTCTTCCCCACCAAGGGGTTCCACCCCAACGGCGGCATCTTCGCGGCCTCCGAGCTGCGCAAGGACGGCGCCAAGGAGGCCATCATGGCCAAGTGGGATGCGGGCAAGTGGTACGACTTCGAAAACGGCGGGCTGGTGCGTGACCACGGCAACCCCGTGAACGGCAAGGGCAAGGTGCGCACCATCATGATGGCCGCCAGCCTCAACTGCTACGGCACCCAGCTCAAGATGGTCGAGGACGGCAGATGGGTCACCGAAGGAAACATGAGCGAAGGTGCGACACATGAGAAGACACAGACGGGGTGGCACGGTGGTGTGGTGATCACGTCTCGGTCTCTGTGATGTCAGGTGCTCTGGTGGTTGCTGCGGCCAAGGCGCGCATCGGCATCGGCGAGGAGGACGGTCAGTTCGCGAGCGTGACTCACCACCAGGCCAAGTACCTCCGCATCAACGCCCTCGAGGTGCCCTTCAACAGCTCACGCAAGATGATGGTCACCATCCACCAGCTGCACACACCCGGTACACAAACCAACCAGGAGCAAACCACTGCCCTGCGCCCTCTGCTGCGTGCACTGTCGTCTTTGTCCTCTTGTTCTGTGTGCCGTGGTCGGTCGATCAGGTGTGTTTGAGGGCATGTCTCTGCCGGACAGCTCGATGACGCACGTGGCCATCATCAAGGGTGGGCCTGACAGGGTGATGCCCCACGTGGGCAGCTGCCCGCAGGACGGCACCGACAAGGAGGGCAACCCCACCTACCGCCTCGCCTCTCAGCATACTCTCAAAGACCAGCAGCGCACCGACATCGAGCGCGTCAACAACGACATGGCCAAGGTCTGACCTCTCTGCACAGAGAGAGAGAGAGAGGTCCATCAGCGCGCCTCATTCATATGGCTGCTCTGACTGTGTGCCACCAACAGAACGCCCTTCGTGTGCTGGCTTTGGCCGTCCGCCCTCTGAGCACCGAGGACGTCTCGCTTCTCTCCACCCTCGACACGGCCGACGTCCGACTGGACGCCATCCTGGGCCGCGGCACGCCCCTCCCTTCGTCCAAGCAGTCCCCCCACCCCAGCCAGCCCCTCGCCCTCATGGGCCTCTTCGGGTCCGTCGACCCCCCACGCACAGGCGTCCGTGACGCCATCGAAGAGTGCAACGGTGCCGGTGTGCGGGTCATCATGATCACTGGAGACCAGAAGATCACGGCCTCGGCCATTGCCCGCGAGATCGGCATCTTGAAGCACGAGCAGGGCACCGAGGGGGCCATCATGTGCGAGGAGCTGAGGGACAAGGAGACCGGCGAGCACGTCGAGGAAGGCGCACTGGACGAGATCACCTCCAGGTCAGCATGTGCAGCCAGCCAGCTGACGACTGAGAGAGAGGTGTGTATGGTCATCCGTCTGTCTGTCTGTTGTGTCTGTGTTATGTAGGGTGAATGTGTTCTCCCGCGCCCAGCCCGAGGACAAGATGGCCATCGTGCGGTCACTGCAGCGGCAGGGCGGCGTGGTCGCCATGACCGGCGACGGTGTCAACGACGCACCTGCACTCAAGGTACGGACCACACCCACAGCACACCCACAGCACATCCATCCATCCATCCATCCATCGATCTTGTGTGTGAAATGTGATGTAGGCTGCCGACATCGGTACGGCGATGGGCATCGCAGGCACAGACGTGGCCAAGGGCGCGTCCGACATGGTGTTGCTGGACGACAATTTCGTGACGATCGTGGCTGCGTGCGAGGAGGGCCGGAAGATCTACGCCAACATCCAGAAGTTCGTCACCTTCCTGCTGGGCTGCTGCATCGGCCAGATCGTATACCTCACCATCTCAATCCTCATCAGGCTGCCGCTGCCACTCGAGGCCCTCCAGGTGAGTCAAGTCAGACAAACCAACAATGCGATGCGATTTCCCTCGACTCACCCTCACCCACTGTCCGTGTCTTTCCTTCCGTCAGATTTTGTTCATCAATGTCATCAGCAACGGGCCGCCCGCAGTGGCGCTGGCCGTGGAGCCTGCCGACGAGGACATCATGAAGCAGCCGCCCCGCAAGAAGACGGCGTCCATCATCACCCGCCCCTTCGCCTTCTTCGCCATCCTGCCGCATGCCGTCATCCAGACGTGCGCAGTGCTGCTGTCGCTGGCCTTCGCCATGTACCTCAACACCGGCTATGTCACATCCGACAGTGTGCAGACGGAGCCGTGCCGCACCTATAAGGTCGATGGCGATGACTTCGCCTGGCCGTACTTCTGCGAGTGCCGGGAGTTCACCTGGGACAAGGGATGGCAGGTGTGTGACAGACACGGGGCGGCGAGCGCATGGACGGATGTGATGTGGTTTGGTTCGTTCGGTGTGTGGTTGGTTTGTGTGGATCAGATTGACATCGACTACTATGACCCCAACGACTCGACCCTCAAGCACCTGGACCGCGCCTACATTGGCACCCTCGAGCCCGGCACCCTCCGGCCCGAGGATGTGCCCCAAGTCGCAGAGGCATACACAAAGGTACTGACGCAAGACACACGCACGCCGAAACTACACATGCTTATTGTGCGTCTGTCTGTCTGTCTGTCTGGTGCATGCGATGTGTTAGTATGAAAACTCAAACAGCGAGCCTCTCTACAACGACGACGACAAGCCCCGCCAGCCCGGCCAGTGGGCCAAGCCTCAGAACCTCGCGACCAAGGAATTCTACGACGTACGACCATACACGCACACGCATACACACACTCACCCACCCACACAGACACACTCATGCCATCCTGCCTCCCTCACACGCATCATCGGTCTCTGTGTGTGCAGGACGCCGTGTACACGTGTGTGGTGCGCGGCACGCAGCGCGCCCGGACGATCTCGTTCCTCACGGCGGTGTTCTGCGAGATTCCGCGTGGCTACACGGTCCGGTCGTGGTTGCCCATCTTCGCCGTCTTCAACCGCAACAAGTGGCTGCACATCGCATGCGGCACCTCGGCGGCCCTCGCCATCCTCATCACCCTCATCCCCGGCGTCAACTACGTCTTCTCGACAGTGACGCTCTCCTGGTGGATGTACTTCTACGCGCTCGGCTGGGCCGTCCTCACCGTGGCGGGGGCCGAGCTGGGACCCAAGCCCCTCTACCGATGGCTGCAGCGACGGAAGAAGGTACGTTCTGTACTGCGGATGGAAGGGATCCGACCCATGGGGCAGATGGGTGGACGGACGTATGTGTGTGTGTGTGTGTGTGTGGTGTGTGCAGGCGCGTGACGTGGCTGCGCTCGAGGACAAGAAGGCTGGCACGGCTGTGTGATATATTGCGTGCGTCCATGAGTGTGATAGGGCTGTCCATGGGGGGGAAGCTCAGGTAGACTGTAGCCCATTGCCTGTAGCTCATTGCCTGACTGTCGGGGAGGTGTTTTGTCTGTCTGCGTCGATTCGATGCGGAGAAGACGCCGCTCTCCATCCATCCATCCATCCATCCACCCACCGATGGATGAGCGCATGTGCATAGAGACAGACAGACAGACAGACAGGGAGGTGGATCGATGTCTAGAAGAATGAACGAAACAAACAGGCGAGTTTTTCCCGTGCATTCACCTGTTTTGCGTTCCTGTGTGTGCGTGACTGCGTGTGCGTGATGCCTGTGGTGGCGTGGCGTGGTGTGCTGTGCTATGCTGTGCTGTGGTGAATGGTGTGCTTACATACATACATACCTGTCTACGTGCGAGGGCGGCGCTGGTTCCTTCCTTCCCAATTGATTGATACGCTTTATTGATTGATACGGCCGACATGACTGACGAGAAGCCAAGCCGCCCTCAGTGAGTGAGTCAGACATGATCCTGTACAAATGATTCTGACATACCTGCCCGTCTGGCTTGCGTGCGGCCGGGCGGGCGGGTGTGGGGGCTTTCCTTTTCCTTCCTTGCGCTTTAGCGCTGGGTCGGCCGGTGAGGTGACATCAGTGAGGTGTGTGTGTGTATGTGCGTGTGTGATGGCTGTGTCTGTCTGTCTGCATGAGTTTGATACGAATCCGTCATCCGTGGGAGGCTCGGCTCCCAGGGTGGAGGGGGTGGATTCACACGATGGGGTGGTGACGATTTTGATCACCAGTTGGGCCGGGAAGAGGGGGCTCGTTCTGTTTATCTTGTTTTGGTTTGGCTGTCTTGTTTGTTACCTTCCACTCACTCGCCACTGCATGAATTTTTATCCGATGCGGTTTCTGTTGCCGGGCCGGGCCGGGATTGTTTTGTTTTTGGCCCCTACCTGTCATGTGTGCTGTCTGTGGGGGTGGCCAGGGTCTATGTGCGTTTCTCTGCCTGCCTGCCTGTCTGAGACTCCTTCTGTATGGTGTTATGGTGTTGTGGGTGTCTGTGTGTGATGTGCGTGTTTCGCCTGCCCGTGCTGGTCTTTTGTTACCACGTCGGTCGGTGAATGCAATGCGGTGGTCGCTGTTGGTGCCCTTTTTGCCATGTGTTGTGCTGTGTGTGAGGGCGCGTTTGTGTGTGTTGGTTGGGACGGACGGGACTGCAGGCAGGGCAGGGCGGGGCGAAGGGAGGGAGGACTCACAGGGAAGAACGATAGGGACCTTATGATATCAATGATTTGTGGTTGTGGTCGCAACTTGAGTGAATCCTGGATGCGTCGACCAGTCGCCGCAGGAATGGAGCGGTGAAGGGAGAAGCCAACTCAAGACACACGTCTGTCTGCACACGCCACCTTAAGTCTCTCGACACACACGAGCCTGGGTGGAAGAGCGGATCAGATCCATTCCATCCATCCATCGACCGGTCAGAATATGTTCCACAGGTTCTCGACCTCGTTGCACACCTTGCTGCAGCACACCTGCACGGCGAACAGACACGGTGGACTGCACTGCATCTAAGTGTGTCACTATGTCTGTGCCGTGTATGCGAATGCGCCCGCCGGGCTGACCGATGCGCTGAGGCCGTAGTTGGAGATGGAAATCTTGTCCTCGACGTAATCCAACTCCTTCGCTGACAGATCAAAACGGGCAGACAGACAGACAAGCAGCAGCATTCATCCCCTGTGTCTACTCCCAAGTGTTGCACACACGTCAGCCGACCCACCTGGATCGCCCCGAGCGACCGCCCCGATGACAAACGTCGTGGGGATTTCCTGCACACACACACACACACACACACATGGGTGCAAGGGTGTATGGCGCACACACTCCGTCTCTGTCTGACTTTGTTGACATGTTTGGGCATCCAGTCGCGAAGCTTGACGAGTTTGCCGTCGACCGAGAGGCCCACCTTGCTGCCTCCGGGTGGCAGGTACTTGGTGACGGGGTTGCTGATGATCCGCATCAGAGTGGCCGACCCGTCCGTCGCCTTGATCTTGCTCTTCATCAACAGCTCAACTGAACACACACAGGTTCAGGGATTGGCGTGTGTGTGTGTGTGCGTGTTGCGTACCCATGAGTCCGGCGAATCGTTTGAAGGTGCGCGGGATCCTCAGCTGTGGCGAAACCTCGATGAGGACGTTGGACGCCGTGTGGACGTAGATCAGCAGCATACCCTCGCGATTCAACGGACTGTCCAGCAATGTCATCAAACACTGCACCGGGGAACCAACCCAACCAACACGCATCGCATCGACCAGGCAATGCATCCATCCATCCCCCGACCGGCCGACCTGATGGACAATGTCCGGTCGGATGTCGGCGATGTCGCGTTTGTTCTTGGCGAGGTACGACTGGTGGTCGTCACAGTTGAGCAGCTGATGCGACTCCTTCAGCTTCACCGTCTCCAAACACCTAAACCACACCACACCACAGCACACCACAGCACAGCACGGCACAGCACAGCACAGCACCAGCGGCACCAAACGACCCAATCTTCTCTTGGCGTGCCGTCTGTCTGTCTGTCTGTTTGTCTGTCTGTCTGTTGTGTGCTGCCCTCACTCACGCCTTCTCGAGCAGGACGACGATGCGTTGGCCCTTCTGCTTCTCCTCTAAAGTCCTCGGCACCCTCACATACTCCTCCATAGCTATGCTTAGGAAGCGCTGGTTGGTCGGCCTCAGATCAGAAACGGGATTGTCGACTGATCAACTCGAACTCCCCTGACACATGGATCTTCCTATTTCGCACCAGATCCCTACAGTACCTGTCCACCAAAACGCCTCGTCAGGGAGAGCGGGCCAAGAACCGCAACAGAAGTCGGCAGACCCTGGGATCGCCGAAGAATTTTTGAGCTCGCGCTGATCTGGAGCAAAATGGCACTGCTGATAACTGTGGGACGAAGAGGCGCTGCCCTGGCAGCCGCACGCACCTCGAGCAGGTGCTTCTCATCATCTCCAGCGACATCGACAGCAGCAGCATCGTCACCTCAGTCTGCAGGAGGTCCGGGCGCGACGACCTTGTGGCGGTGGGGCTGCACGGGCCACTCGTCGTTTCTGGGCAACAGCACGTCCGAGGCGTCCAAGACGCCTTCCAGGATAGAGGGCTTCAACGACACTACCGTCATTGCTGTGGGATCTGAACATGCCGCCTTCGTCGGTACGTCACAGACGTGCCAACAGCCAGCCAGACACACAGGCAGGCAGACAGAGAGAATGGCGCGGATCAATGAATCATCGCAGTGGTGACTGACCGTGTGTGGCTGTGACTGTGACTGTGCTATATCTGTTTGCAGACAGCGGGAAGCTGTACACGTATGGCGCCAACAAGTATCGTCAGCTGGGCAGGCCGTCCAGGGGGCCCAAAGCCGACGAGGACAACGAGCCGGGACTCGTCGAGTTAGACGGTCACACAGACACACAGACACGCACACACACACACACAAACACAAGGACAAGACAACGGATGGCTCACTCATTTCTTGCAATCAACATGTGTGTATCTCAGTGGCTTCGCCTATCGTCCAGCTGGCGTGTGGGGCTTTCCATACCGCAGCACTCACAGGTAGGTCGGCGGGAAGGGCAGGTCGGTCACAGATCCAGACAGACAGACAGACAGGCAGGCAGAAACAAAGAAGCCGCTGTATGTGTATATGTGTGTGTGTGGATCATGACTCGTTCGTTGCCGTGCCGTGCCGTGGTTGGTTGATCGATCAGCTGACGGTCGTTTGTTCACTTGGGGCTGGGGTGGCAGTTTCTTCAGCGGGTGCAACGGGCTGGGGCACGGCGACAGGAAAACCAGGGAGACACCCACAGAAGTCAGCAAGGTAGGCACGTGCCTGGATGCCTGGATGGGCGGGGCGGGGCGGGGCGGGGCGGGCTGATATGATTGATGTGAGCATTGCAATCAAAGGACCTGCCTCTGTTGTGTTGTGCTGTGCCGTGGGCGGTGTGGTGTGGTGTGGTGTCAGTTCATCGAGATAGATGACCCCGTCAAGTACGTGACCTGCGGGTATCAGCAGACCCTTGCACTCACAGGTAGGTAGGCATGTGGGTCAGTCAGTCAGCGATGACCGATCAGATCAGATCAGCACGTGAATGCCTTGGGCGGTGTCCTTTCCTTGGTGCGCTCGTTCGTCAGCGAGCAACACGGTGTACGGCTGCGGCAAGGGCGAGTTCGGCCGACTGGGGAGAGGACACAACTCGGACCAGCTCGAGTTCGAGGTGCGCATCTGTGTGTGCCACGCCACTCGTAATACGCACACACAGATGGACAGATGGATGGATGGATGGACGGACGCAGGAGGTCGAGTACTTCAGCACTCTGTTCATGAGGCCCGAGATCCTGAAGCTCACCACCGGCACCAACCACTCCATCGCACTCACAAGTGAGTGGGTGAGGGAGGGAGTGAGACAGACGAGCCTCTCAGCCGGACGGCCGGCCGGCCAGCTGGCTGATCTGTGGCCAACATTCGCAGTAAGGTTTTGTTTGGATGTGTTGTGTTGTGTTTGTCTGTTTCTTTAGAGACCGGCGAGCTGTATGTGTGGGGCCGCAACGACAGGGGGCAGCTCGGGACAAGCGACGGGGTCAGTGAGGGGGGGGGGGGGG